TTGTGTATCAATTATTTTGGTGTAAATAAGGTACAATTCAATTAAAATTACTCATTACCATAATTTTTTTGCATATCTTCTTCTGATAGTAATCTTTTATTGCTTTTACCTATTAATAAAATGTAACAGTCATATGTTCAGTTAATTGTGCTTTATGTTTAAAATTACCTTCTGATTTCAGTGTCACTTCCTGAGAGGGTTGTTCAATTTTCATACTTGTTTCTGTGTACAAAAACAACAGTGATTGTATCAAATACAAATAATAAATATCACCATATATCTCTTTTAGTATCTGCTCCTTGTGTTGTCTTTCTGTAACCAATTTTGTATAGAGTAATGTAATTTCTTGTTGTAATTCCTTTATGGTTATATCCTCCACTAATGGTTGATAGTTTGGACTATTTATTGCTTTAAGATGAAACTTCAAGTCATTAATTTCAAGAGCCATTCCTTTTCTCAATCTGCTTGCAGCTTTAATTATAAATCACACATAACTATGGTGATAATAAGCTATTCTAACCTGTATCATTAAAACTAGAAGCAGAAAGTGATGCACGGTACTTGATCTTTGCTCCATCCAATGTATCAGATAGTTCTTTGTTCTTCTTTTCCATTTCATTAAATTGAGACCTCAGTGTAACTAATTCATCAACTGATTCCAAATCCTTTTCATCATTCTATTAATAAATACAAAATAGTGAGATGATGCTACTCCAATTAATTCATAGTTTTTCATTACACAGGTAAAGGTGAATTTGTAATTATGCTAGGCCAGCGTATTGTCAAAATCAGCGTATTGTATTGTCATTTTAGGCATGCCTAAAACCAAATTCAACTCATGTCAATGTAAAGTCAAGCCTAGCATATTTGCCTTAAAGCTAATGTGGCGGGCACTCAGTCTCATTAATATTTATATGTAGGTTTAACACCGACTAGGAGGGATTACAAAATTTTAAACCCGAAGGCAAAGCCCAAGGGTTTAAAATTTTGTAATCCCAACTAGGAGGTGTTAAACCGATATAAAAAACAAATGCTATTATAGCTGTGCGGCCGAATTGTGAAGAATGATGCGACTACTGCCACGTGTTGCAATGCGCAGAGGCATTGCAGCGGATTATGCATTTCAATAGAGCAGTAATGGCAGCTTGGAATACTCTTTAGTCAAGAAGAAGGCTGAAGAAGTGACTGGATCAAGCTATCACGAGCAAACCTCATGCTAATATGATCCTAGGATGGCTTTGACTGACGATGAAGCCAAACTCTGAGACCACTGGATCATGACGCAGTGACGCCAGTGAAGATCTCTCGTGGGTTATCTACAGTGTGGAAGAGCAAGAGGAATGTCATATTCTTAAAGGCATAGTGGGAGAAGAGCCGGCAGACCTTTCTAATAATAGCTTTTAAAATTTTAATCAAAATTTGTGAAAACAAACGTGTGCGCTTCTTGGCCCTGGCTCGGCCACAGGATTTACACAATTTTAATACCTCAT